GGAGATCGCCCGCACGGGCGAAAAATGGCAGGGGGAAACCGGTGCAGTCTGAAATGGCAAACAGCTTCAGATCCAGCTCTTTACCGGAAGGGGAAAGCCATGTGTGAAATGGCAGCCCTATATCGGTTTACTCCATGACGGATCAAAAACAGCTTCAAAACGGGTTAAAAAGGGTAATGTGAAATTCCTCACTTTTTTAACTATAGAAGGGACTTCCTTTAAAACACTGCATTGTATTGTTTTTGTCTTTGTCTTCAGGTTTCTTCCCTCTTTAATGTTATGTGATGCTCTTTTCCCTTAGTCAGCCTTTTTGCCAACTGTATTGACAAAAAGTCAAATGAAATGTTGCCATTAAAACTGCATAAACTGTGCACAAATGGTATGTAAATGACATTTTAAATGTAAAAATGGCATACAAAAAAGAAACAAAGGAAATTTGCTAAAATAAAAACAGATGGGGACATATACGATCCCCTTGACCCTACACAAAGAAAGAATACAGATTTGTACATTACTAAATAACACTTCTGAGCAGGTGCAATCGCCACTGCATCCTGAAATACTGAATACACCTGTATCTCTATGGAAAGGAAAAATCACTGTGTTTATATCTGGGAAATTACAGATGTAATTATGCTGGACTCTTATTAGAAAGAGCAACCCAAAAGGTATAGAGAGATCAATCCCACTCAAGGCACTCTAATCTCTGTTGGTGTTTTATTATAGTAGATGCGGCTCTTTGAAAGCCATATAGAGATTTTCTTATTTCCCCAAGTTAATTATATTTGCAACTCTGAAGAAACACATCAATATCCTGTACACTCCAGCAAAACAGCCTTTTTTCCCTGTTGCAGTATTGGAAGCAATCTAAAGCCTACACAGCTTTTGGGAGGGCATTGAAACAACTTCTTCCCTCTGTGAAAAAAAATCTATCAACTGCTCGAGCCATATGTTAGAAGTAAAATGACAAATGGTTTGTTAGTAAATACTCCCAACAAATCTGTGAGTTGTTAATTGCGGTTGTTTTGAAAGAAAAAAAGCTCTGGCAACCTTTCTCGTTGGAAAAAGGCATTTAGACATTGTCATTAAATAATATAACCAATATTTTTTTAAAAAAGTTTTTATTGATTCCTTTGTTTATATCCCGCCTTTCTTCACAATAGGGACCCAAAACAGTTTACATTATTCTGCTCTCCTCCATTTTTTCCATATCACAGCCCTGTGAGGTAGGTTAGGCTGGGGTTGCCAAGTCAAACTTACCTAAAAGCGGGGGGAGTCCTGTCCCTGGCAGGGGTATCTCCTTGTGCGCACGCACCACGATGACGCCACCCGGAAGTGACATCATCACATCGGGCCCGTTGGGGGTGGGGCCACAATCATTCGAGGGAAAACCATAGAGTTTTCCCTCAAATGATAGAGCGTCCCCCAGTGCCACCGCTCCCCTCTGTGCCACCGCTCCATGTTTATCGCTTTGCAGATGGTCAAAGGCCCTGCTGGGGTCAGCCAGAGGCCAGCAGCCATGGCTGGGTTGTCTGCAATAGCATGGCCAACTTCCGCATTGCCGTCCCAGAGCGCCTGTGCCTTCAACAACCCAATCAAGTTGACGGGTGGTAGAGTCAGGACAGGGGGGGGGAGACTTCTTTGCACAATGTATAATTTAATTGTGGAATTGGCCGACATGGCGTGTGGTGGTTGCAGCTGACTTAGACAGCCTCAAAGGGGTTGAGGCAGATTTCTGGAGAACAGATCTAACATCAGCTATTGACCCTGGCTAGTTGAAACATCCCTGAATACACACATGAAGCCGCCTTATACTGTCTCTGACCACTGATCCCTCAAGGTCAGTATTGTCCACTCAGACTGGCAGCAGCTGTCCAGGGTCTCAGGGGGAGAGGTCTTTCATACCATCTGCTACCTGACCAGGGGTCATTTCGTAGAAAAAGAAGTGCAGAAGCTCATTAGCATAACTTATTTGCATATGCCACACCCCCTGACATCACTGGAAGTGTGGCAGAAGGCAACACCCACCACTCAGGCTCCACTGGACTGTTTTGGATTCCTAGCTATTGGGGGGGGGGGGAACGTGCAGATCTGTCCTCGCAGAGGAGGGGGAGCTTGTACCTGAATAAAACTTTGTCTTAAAGGTGCCACTGGACTGTTTTGGACTGGGGGGCCGGGGGGGAGCTCAGCAGGTTGCCTGGCTGCTTCTTGCTCTGACTGAGGGCTGCTGGGAGCAGGGGGTGGGGCTTGTTGCATGTGCCCGCCCCCTGGGCTCTTTACTGCCGGAGCACTGCTCCTGTGCGCTCCTGCAGGAAATGACCCCTGTACCTGATCCATCTTAAACTGGAGATGCCAGAGGTTGCACCTTCTGCATGCCAAGTAGATGCTCTACCATTGAGCCACGGCCCTCCCACAGTGCTAGTCACTGGGCGACAGGAGACAATCTACTTTTATTAGGGGCCACCTGTAGTTGTCTTCATATCCTGCTTTCAGAGGCTTCTGGGTTGATTGGATGGAAAACATGGTGCTAGGCTAGATAGACTGGGGGTCTGATCCAGCGTGGCGGCACTTGGGTTCTATTCCAAGAAGTGGAAACTCATCCAGAGCTTTCCTCACCAATCCTGGGATCTCCGCATTGAAGAGAGCTTCGGCTGCTGAAAAAAAACAAGAAAAAAACACTGGCAGCCCTAACACGTCCAAACTGTATGACTATATTGTTTTGATAGGAAACAGCAGGAAATCTGGCAAAGATTTGGGGGGGGGCATTTTACATGAAACTCAGTTTTTGGGCACTCAGGATTAGTAAGAGTACCTGTTGAGCATGAGTGCCAAGAGTGGCCACCTGCTGCTTGAGGCTCAGAACAGATTGGGACATCAGAAACAGGGAAACATGGCTTCAGCTCCTCACCTGTCAGAAGCTCCAGGTGCTGGCTTTGGGCGCTGTGCTTCTAATCTCTTCGACGTGGAAATCAGTCTTCCTCCTCGACCTTGCACTGCTCACCATCTGCCTTCCTTGCTTTGTCCCGTCTGTGTCCAGCAGCCTGTGGCTTTCTCAAAAGCTTGGTTCCCTCTTTCCTTTTCTATTGCTTCTCTTGGACATGTCCCTGCCATTGACTTGCTTCGCATCCCTCTTCTAAGGATCCGCTTGCTCCTCTCTACCGCGATGCCAGCTCACTCACTTCTAGGCTTGCCAAGTCCCCCCGGGGGGCGGGGAAACCCCCGCCCCAGAGGCCCGTTCCCCGCCACCGACGGATCAGGCCCCGGAGGGAGCCCCACCCCGATGTGCGCGTCAACCAGAAGTGACGTGACCACGCCGGGCACGCTAGGGGCAGGGCCACGGTCATCTGAGGGAAAACTCTATGGTTTTCCCTTGGATGGTCGTGGCCCTGCCCCCAGAGTGCCCGGTGTCATCACGTCACTTCTGGGTGACATGTGTGCGGCACGCGTGCGCGCTCTCTCCAGCCGCCAGCCGGGAGTCCCCCGCTGCGGCACAACGCCAGACTTGGCAACCCTACTCACTTCATTTGATATTGGCCCGTGTACTCTCATTCAGCTGAACACCTCGGAAGGAAAATAAAAGAATCGAAGCATCCATGATAAAGTTATCCTCTCCATCTACATGACAAACAGTTCTAAACCTGCCCGGTTCATATGATCCCCAGTTCCTTTGCTCCACCTGCACTGGGATAAGAAAAGAGAGATTTACTATCAGGGACTGATCAGCATTTAAGTGAAATTGTGGCCTTCATTAAACCAAACTTGGTGTCTTCCTTCCTGGGAAATTAAAACTCAAGGAGGCCTTGTTGGTTCAAAAGGTATCCCTGATAATGCCCAGGTCTTTCCATAAAGTGATTACTTGATATTTTTTTTCAAAGTAAACTTTTTGTTTTGTTTTAGTTTTCTGGATTGTAGAAATAAATGATTGAGGTTTTGCGTGAATTAATATTTAATTTGCAGGGAACCGCATAAATATTGTAATTGGAGATTCTAGAACGCCACATTAAAATTGCAAGACATTTCCATTATCCCTCGTAATAGAAAGTGAAATTAGAAGCTCATCTGTGGAAATAAAAAAAACCACCCCAACTTCTTGACAGCTGTTTTGTCTTCTCAGCCGTCGTAAATGGGCACCCAGCTTTTCCTGTAGTTGCATCCATATCACAGCTTGGTTGTCTTTCTTGGGCTCCTCCATTGTTTTTTGTTTTTTTAAAAAAAGGAAATTCTCATTAGGGATAACGTTGCTGATGGCCGAAGCACCAGAGTAGCACAGCATCTGGGAGGTGCACAAAAAAGAAGAAAGGAATTAAACTCAGAGCATTCTTTGGCTTAGTTCAGGCAAAACACCAAACCAGGCTTTTATGTGACATGGGTCTGCACACCCACACCCTCCATCCCCGGATTTCCCCACACCCTGGTTTTAATTATCACAAGGAAAATTATTACATAATTACTGTATATATGGTCTGGGAGGTATTTTGTGGCAGCTGACTCTGCGCATTCGGAAGGTGGCCCTTCCTTTAGACCACAAAGGACTAACAGAAAGAGAGATACAGGAATATTAGCAAAGTGTTTGTCAGTACTTTTATGTTTAACAGTCGCTGTCTTCCTTTCTTTTTTAAAGAGCTGATTTGAACTTCTTTTCTTTATAGATTTATTAGAAAACAAGGGTTGGATAGGCTTTTCCTGGAATGCGATACACACATGTGGCGCCTTGGAGACCGGAAAATTCCTGAAGGGATAACAGTTGATGGAGGTTCAGACTGGTTTCTGCTTAATAGGAAGTTTGTGGAGTACGTCACCTTTTCTAGTGATGATCTGGTGACCAAGATGAAGAGGTTCTACTCCTACACGTTGCTTCCAGCTGAGGTGAGTGGATTGAGAGAAACCAGACTGGCAAAAATGACCTTGGAGTCTTTTGGGA